TCACTTTTGATCCAAAGTTTTTTGAACTTCATTTATTCAAATTATCTGATCCAGGTTTTATAATTTAAATTAAAAATTTCCTTAGATCTCAAAAGTCTACACCGAAAGTAAATATTTAAAATTATAATAAATAGCATAATAAAATTATTACATAAAAATCAAATAAAACATAATTATTAATTAGAAAATTCAATATTAAAGAGAAATAAAAAAATTTGATTTGGTTTATTTTTGATATCAAGTTTTTAAATGTGTAATAAATTGTGATAATTTATAATAATAATTATTCAAATTCCGTGGAATTTAAAATGCAACAAGTCTGTCATCTACGTCGTGCAGGTTGCATAACCGCGCAACTCGAGACGTCGCGGCAGGTGTGCGTGAGGCTTCGTGGGTGCAGGCCTCCGACCGTGCGGAGGACTAGATGGAATTAAAAGGGGCGGCTGGCGGCTCCAATTTATTCCATACGTGCTGTGTCATCGCCGGCGCCTGCATATTCATAGCTAGCAACATCTGGCGCGCCGAACCAAGTAATCTAGATAAGTGCTGGAGGCCGAACGCAAATCCTCTTGTCTCTGCTGGCCAAATTGCAGCCAAGACCTGTGGAGCCGCGTGATTGCTTTATCGCAGCTGGAATTTGTTCCAAATGGAGTCGTGCGCGAATAAATCGCGCTGATTCGCACCAGGCCCTTGTTTGCCCGGCCGGAGAGATTTTGCACGAGCTAGCATAATGCGTGCCAAATAACTTTTGCGACGTGCTTTACGGCCAACTAACACTTCCCCCATGCATAAAAAATTACCCTTCTTTTAAAAATCCTGCATCATTGAAATTCCATGCTTAACACTGATAAAAAAATCAATGATTGGGTCCGAATATGAGAAAATCGATTCTCGCGCAAGGTTTCTCGAGGAACGTTTTTGCCATTGAAGAACCACCACAGAATTGTTTCATGAGAATCCTTGCGCAAGAATCACTTCTTGAGAATCGCTTTTCGAGAATTACTTCTCAAGAATCGCTGCAAGAATCGATTCTCTCATATTCGGACCCACCCAGTGTTATATGATATGATTCAGATAAAAAAATTAGCTGCATGAAATTTTTTATTTTTTTCTTACGTTAGTTGTTTAATCTGAGAAAATAAAAAATCAACTACTGTTCCAGCTAAAATTTTTGAGTTTGAAAGCAAAGGTTTGGGAAAGGTTATTGTTAATTTTTGGCTCCAGCAATTCATGCAAACGGGGACAGGGGGATGTACTTGGGCTACATTTTGACTTTTTGAGGTAAACGCAAGACCATGAATCATTTCAATTTTCGACCCTATTACTCCCACCATTCACTTCCTAAGCTTAAACAATTTTAGATTAAAAAAATTAAGAAGGTGTTTAAAATCATTAATATCTTCTTTCCCCTTTCTTCTTATTCTTTTTTCAGCTCTGATTAAAAACTTTTGACTTAAGTGAACACCAAGAGAGCAAAGATGTGATTATGTTGACTGACAGTTGCGCAGAAAAAACTTTCGTGACGCGCAAATCTATCAAAAACCTCTCCATCTATTCGGAAGTGAAACTTGTGCGATGAAAATGTAATTTGGTTTGTCGGCAGCGCGGGCAGATGTGCGCGGAGAAAAGGATGGGAAAAAAAGGAGGATGAGGCCAGATCCGTTCTCGGCGCACGCTGTAATTGTGTTTCGCAAAGTTGCTCGCGCGAAAGGGCGGGAGGTGCGGCCATGCAGTGGTAATTAGAAGATGCTGCGGACTTTCGGAACGTAACGAGATTAGAACGCCACAGCCGACCGCTGGCAGCACCGGCACCCGCTGTCTTCAATTAAGTGATAAAATTCTTGGCAAATAATTAGAAGCTGGCAACGCGTGCGGTCGGCCTGCACTCTGATTGAACGGGCTTTGAGGTTGCCGGCGAGCGCGGTTTGTTCGAGCGGCGCGGTTATTTCCAGTTTGTTTGTTCGCCTGCGCTCGTAAATTCGGCGATAATCGCCGCCAATTAAGACTCGCGGATTTCGGCCGCGTGCCAATTAGGCGATTGTTGTACCGAACAAAGGCCCCGAAAGCCGGTGTTTGCTCCTGCCATTATGTGACGGTGTTGCAAGTGGCTTAAAGGACCATATATGCAGCAAAATTTCATGAGCGGCCTCAAAATCACCATCGCAAAATATGCACCAGTCAAATGATTTAGTATCCCTAGGGAGATTAATGTTGCTTTTACTAAAATCGGTTAAAATAATAATGTTGACTTTAAAGTTCAAATGATTTTGGAGGGAAAATTTGAAACTGTTTCAAAGTGATATATAGTTTTTTTTATCGATCTATGGTAATCTAAAGATATTTATTTTATAAAAATTCAAGATTTAAAACATTTTCTGGTTCTGGTCTTCGAATTGTGGAAAATGTAATAGAGAGAAATCAAAATAGCAGCTCAAAATGTTGTGAAAATGCTGGTTGATATTTTCCACAAACGCAGACTGACTGGCGACGACTTATTGCACATTTTCTTCACAATTTGGTTTTATAATCAGTATGAGAAGGACTTCAGCAAAAATAAATTTTTAGTGAGAAATGAAAAACAAATCGCAAAACACTTTCAAATAAACATTTACTTGCTTTTTTTTGCATTTAAATTTGTGAAAACTTTCGCAAATAAGTAATATTATAATTATGAGAATAAAAAACTTGCCATTAAAACCTCATTTTTATATTTTCAATTTTCCTTGATTACTCTTTTAAATGTTCTCCTTCCTAAAACAATGACCGCTCACAGCTGGGAGTTGGCTTTTGTCGCATCACGCTTCGCCGAGTGGAAATTTTCTCTTTCTCGTGACAAATTAAAATTTTAATTATGCACCGCATGGATGTGTTTTATGTCGCTGCTTTTCCCTACGTATTGTAATTGTCTTTCAGCGCTAAGTGCCTTCCGTGCACCAGGCGTGGTCTTTTTCCCTCTCTCTGCGGTTTCACGTGCCGATGGAATTTACATTTATGCGTTTTTCCACGCGCGACAGTCCATTAACTCGTAATTAGCGCCGTTACTACTGCTGAACAGAGTGCTTGTAATTAGCTCTTATTTTCAAATTTTTGTTACGTTTAAATGTTGAAACGGGGTGTTGGCTATTTTATTCAGAATTAATACCATGATTATAAAATTCAATGATTTATGAAATAAGATAAATCGAGTCAATTACTAAGATTATAATTTATAAATCTACACTTATTTTCCGTTCATACAAACTGTGATAGATTGAGATAGTGTTTTCTTTTTATCAAAATTAGCTGATTTTGGTCGTTTTAAAATTTATAAAAAATAAATCTGTGAAAGAGAATATACAAAAATAGTAAAAAATTTACGTTTAATCTCTTTCGTTTGCAAAATTTAAATTTAAAAATCATGTTAATTGTTTGTACAAATAAATAATACAAAAATCCAAAGTGTAACAATTTTCCCTATCAATTGTTCCAAAACTATAACTTTGAATTTTAGAAAAGCAAATGTAAAAATATTTTATTTTAACCAATTTAGAGTAAAAAGATTGGCTATACAATAAAAGCTAACCAACTCATGTTGACTTTGACCTCCTCACAAGCACACAGTATTTTAAGAGGTCATAAATCATACACTCGAGACACATTCGCCTATTTAGGCACGCGAGCGAAACGCGGAAGTCGAGCAAATCGTTGCGAAATAAGCTCTGGATAAATAGGCAGCGCGAGCGAATGATTCGACCCGAGAGAGAGCGCAAACACAAGTTTGGCTGCTGTTTGCAACGAGCAAGAGAGCGGATATTGAAATACTCTGCCGGCTACTACAAATACCGTACATTTAGCTATAGAGAGAGAGAACAAAGGCTGCATTTCTCTGCAGAAGGAGCCACTTTAGGGCGCCGCTGGAGCGTTCGTCGGTTGCCAGCATTACTTGCTCGCTCGGCAAGCCGCCCTGATTGTTTGCCAGAGTGTTTAACTTTTTGCTCATCAAAGGCAGGGAGAGCGAGAGATGAGCTATAAGGTAATCTCTGGGCTCCCAACAGCCATAATTCAGGCATCAGTGTGGCGACTTTTTATATATTATGCGGCTGCCAGCGAGAAATTGTGAATTTGACCAGCTAACAGTAAAGATATTGATTCGAACGAGTTTTAAATAGGTAAATTCTGATTTTATATGAGAGTGGAAAATAAAAATTAAAGTATTTTATTGAATAAATATAAAAAACTAATTGTTGAGATAAAAAAACTTATTTGTTTTCAAAATTTTTAAAATTGATATTAAAATATATATGCACGGCACTCTTTTTTTATAATCAATTTCCAAAACTGCCTGATTGGAATCCAGATTTATTAAGTAAAATCAGATTAGTTTATTTCTGGATTTGATTACTAAAATCTATATAATTTTTCAATGTTGCTTGTTTGGCCCTAAAAAATGGATTTTATTTTAACAAAAAATTTGGAATTGAGGTTTGTTTTTTCATGGTGTTTGGATTGAAATTTAGCTTTTCCTTAATGGATTTTTTAGTATCCCTTATGAAAAACACTGAAGTCTCCTATCCTATTTCAATTATATTCAATATTTAATATTGTTGGTACAATTATAACATTCAGCATTTCGATTACAAAAATGTACAAAAGTTTCATTTAAAAAGTTACCTCATTCAAGAGTAGACCACAATAAGTATAAAAAATAATTTTTAAGTACTTTCCTATTCTTACTTATTTTCTCAATCAGGACATGATTCATAATTATGATTTTTTTATCATAAATATATCAACATATTATAAAAAAAATTAATATTTCTTTTATTATAGCAAATGTTAAATGGTGTAAAAAATTTCAAACATAATATATATTTAAAAATAATTTTAAAACTTTGACTTACTTAAAGTATTAAAATAAAAAGTGAAATAATAATAAATTTTTGCTCTACAATGGCACCCGCGTATTAATTATTTTCTTATTAACTAATAAATTTGCAAATGTATATTGATTTTGTACTCACAGGTTGTAGTGCACGTCGGCCATGTTGCTCCTGTGGCTGAGCGCCTTCCGGTAGGCCCACTCAGCCTCAACCAGCCTTCCTTGGGAGCTCAGCACGTTTCCCAGATTTCCGTACGCTGTAACAAAGAGAACAGAGATTATAGCAGCGTTCAAAACACCGGCACTGTATTCCCCAAACATGTACATGAAGCAAACATGCATTTATTTATCATTCGCGCGCGCAGAGCAGAGAGATCGGCACGCGTTTCGCCCTCGCATTCATCGCTCATGGTATAGCCTAAATCCTCGCGGGATTATAGTCTGGATACAGAATCACGCCCTGCCAACATCAAAAGCGGATGAAATCTCGAAAATATTCCTCTCTGTAGTCGGAAAGCAGAGTCCTTTGTTTGGCGTGGGTCAAACGTGAGTGTTTTCCTATACAATGGAGGAAAAAAAACAATTGGATATTCTTGGAAATGAGGAAAATTATTTTTGCTCGCGGAAAATCCAGCGAATTTTGAAATTTTTGATTAATCTTCACATTCATATTCGGTTTAATCAACAAAGTTTTTAAATTCAATTTTCTGAAATCACAGTGTTGCAGAAAAAAGTTTGCAAGAATTCAGATGAATAAAAATTTAAAGCAAAAGGTATAGAGAAATTTTTGTCCATTACAAAATATGAATCAGCTAGGTACATTATTTCTGATATTCATCAACATTTAAATCAGATGTTCAGAATTAGACAATAATACAAGGGATGAGATGTATTTTTCATAGGATCTGAAAGATTATTAATAAAGACCAAATATGTTGAATGGGGAATAAAATTTCATTAATTTCGCCTATTTGAAGCAAATTTTTCATTAAATTTCGGACATTTTAAAGTGCGCCAAAAGTTCACGCGTGGACAGAATGGTTAAACTTCTGAAATGATAGTCCTTAATTTTTTTTAAAAGAAAGGCGTTCAGTAAATTTTTTCTTTCAATAAGTTTTTCAGGGCGCTGAAAGGTATCAGGTATCACATCGACCGGCAGGTTAAACATTTTAAATGATAGTCCTTATTTTTGCTAATGATTATTTTCATCGAATTTGAAGTATGTAACAACCTAATATGAACTTTATAGAGATTTTTTACTTTTATTAGATGAGTTTAAAAGACAAAATTCACACAAAAAGTTAAAGGAAAAATAAAATTATAAATCACGTATTTGAACTACTTTTATCCTATTTCATCTGGAAAAAATACTACATAACTCTTATTTCGCTAATAGTTATTTGTCACAATTGTAAATGAAGATAGTTTTTTTTGTACGAAAATTTATTTTCAAAAGAAAACGGGAGGAAAATAATTTTTCAGCATGTTGTTTTTTTTTACAATTTATTTACCTGAAAAGGCTAAAAATAAACTTATCTTTTCTTCCTTCGTGACATTTACCAGAACGGGTCGAAATCGCAAAAGTGATAAGTTGCTTTTCAGCCGGCGGCGAATCCGTGCAAAGCTCTTTCGCGAGAGCGACGCATATCACAAAGGCTGGCTAATCTCGCTACGATTTTTTTCCTCATAAAAATTTCCGTCTGAGAGTCTCTTTCGCTCGTAAATTGGGGTGGCAGAAAAGAAATTATTAAAAACAGTGCCTCCTCCTCTTGCCGGCATTAAATATTTAGGCATAAATTTAGGAAAGTTTCCCGGGCAAAGCAAAGCAAAGTACTATAAAGTAGTCTGGCCCAAGTTGGGAGACTACTTTGGTGAGAGAGAGTTTGGCGCAGATTTGGCCGAGCGCACCTCGCCGGCTTCTCTTCCCTCGGCGCTTTGTGCTGCGGCTAAATGACAATGAGCACTCGCGAGCTCTCGCTCTCTTAAGCATTTTGTAATTCCCGGAACAGCACGAGCTGCCTGCGTAATTATTCGACAATCATCGTTCCGTGCGCCTTTTCCACCATTGTGCCGCACACACCGTCTTTGTTTGCCGCGTGAAAATGGCGGTGGATAATTGCGAAGCACTTTGCTTCATACGTACGGAATTGCAATTTGGTTGAGAGCGAGACTGCGCTCTCGTGAAATTACTGATTACGGATTGCACTCAACTGCCCGTAAAATTCAGAGTCGCGCATTTACCGGCAAAAAAATCCCGCTCGAACGTTGATAAATTGTAAAGTGAAATAATTTCCGTGTTAAAAACAGGTACATATCTTTGTCTTATTGACTACTTTTTTATTGAAAAAGTAAAAAAACAATTCCACCTGTTTTTGTTACAGTCTAATTCATAAGCTCGAGAAAATTCATTGAAATATATAATCAATTCACAAATATTTACAGTGGAATCAATCAATTTCTATTGATTTGACGATAAACAATTTTTTTTAAATACCCATTTATTAATAAAAATGCAATTTTAAATTTAAGCAGATAGTCCAGAAAGTAAGAGTCGTTTCTACTTTTTGTTAAATAAAAGTACAGCTAGACTAGTTGATTAACTTATTTTCAATCATTCTTTTAATTAGAGTTAAAAAAAATTAATTTTTGAAAGATTTTGAAAAGAAATATTTGTGGAAGGAACTTTTCAGTCTGTTCAGTTAAAAGTAGTCAGAAAGAGAACTTTTGAAATAAATCTTGGAAACATTATTTTGAGAGTCCATTAAAAATGTAGAATATTTTTTCGTATAATTGATAAAATGAAAAATAAGTAAATTAGTATATTATTCTAAAATGTTTAAAAAGAACAGAGAGTTTTGATTGTGTTTTGGATATTTTAAGCTTTTAAAAAAACATAATAATTATCCCAAATATTGGCTCTTCATATAACTCGTAATTTTCTACTTATTTCAAAATAATATTTTTGCCGCTGTTATCAGTTTATTCAAAAATTTAAAGTAAAACTGTAACAAAATACTTTTTTAATTAAATAATTCCCATTTTTATTTTCTGATTATTGAAATACACAAAGATGTGAAGAAAACGGAGAAAAGCATATTACATACATAAAATTCTGTTAATAATATAAATTTTTGCTATTATTTAACGATCATTTAATATGTATACGTTGTTAAAAAACACCTGGCAATTTTATATAATCATGCTTTCCGAGTTTTAATTTAATAGCATCTTTGAAAGGCATTAACTGAATAAAAAAAAAACTCCCCACTTGTACTTGGAGGAATATTGCGTTCATTTGCTAAATTTCCCCAGATGACTCTCCGAAGAGGAAAAGAATTGGTCTCTCTCGGTCTCTCTTTCCTTTTAGCGACCGTCTAGATAAAAAGGTGTGTGTAGAGAAACACGAACAAAAGAAAGAAAGTATAGGGTACTGTGGGGCGAATACCATCTCCCAAGGTGGACCCATTTGTCTGATTGCTGCGAGTGACACGACGAGTTGCGAAACACGCCAGCTGCTGTACTTGCAAATGAAATCACGCCGTCTCATTAGCATCGTCGCGCAATTTGGAATTTAATTAATCCGCACGTTGTCGGGGCCAGAGAGAGATGTGCTAGTTTGTTACACGGACGCATAAATGAGGCTCATTTTCATTAAGCATTGTTGCAAAGTCGCAGAGGGCTGGTTTAAAAAAAAAAGACGTAGCCCCTCGAGAGGTAATAAGGACGCTCGCGGACTTCTCGAGTCAGCCAAATTAGATTACATTTGCGCGACGAACTCTGACTTCTTCTTCGTCCCGTGTCGGTGTTAAAGTGCAATGCACTGGCTCATGCGATCCGTCTCTCTCCTCTCTGCACACAATGGATGCTAATGAGAGACAGAGACGGTGATGTCCTAACGTTATGGGCTCCAATGAGGGTTTCCTGTGCAAACGCAGCAGAAAACGGAGTGAGGAATGAATTTTAATTAATTCGCTCAAGCAACTTCAAATTATGAATGCATCATTAAGACATAATTGACAGTAGGAAGAAAGTAGAGCTGAGCAAATTAATTTTTTATTTATAAAATGAAATGTAGGCGCGAAGTAATAAGATTTTTACAAACATTTATAATTATTAATTTAAAAATTTGATAAAGTGAGAGGTCTGTTTTGTGAATGCGAAAGCTTCTCAAAGCTCATTTCCATTGCTCAGCAAGTTTGATATGATATCAATAATGATTCAGCAAAGTTTACAAGAAAAGGGAAAAGTAGTTCTTTTTATTATATTGAAAATTGTTGGAAGTGAAGAAATCCTGCTTTTTCCTCGTTGTAAAAATTGTTTTTAATGAATACAAAATGGCTCTTCCAGTTTCGTTCACGGCCTGCGACCCTATTTCATGAGGTAGGTAAATAAAAAAAAATCAGTAAAATGGAAACCACCGGAAAACCACATTAAAAAAATATTCAACGTCTTAATTAAAAGTAGCAAATTCAAGTAGCTCATGAAACAGGTTGGTACATGAATTTTTTAGTAAATATGAAATGTGGTTTTCATTTTGCTGATTTTTTGTATTTTTCTGACAAACGAAAAAGGTTTGCAGACCGTGACCAAAACTGGTGCTGCCGCTTTGTTTTTGAATAAAAAATTTTACAATGATGAAAAGGCCCGATTTCTTCAATTCCAACAATTTTCATTCAGCTAATAAAAACTGACTTTTCCATGATCATCTCCTTGAGTGTCAATTTCTTAAAACTAATGAAAATTGCTACTCGTATAGAATAAATATTTACATTTGTATTGAAATTAATATATAAATCAAGCTCGTCCATTGCTTTGATTAAAAATTAAATTATCCTCCCCCATTCTCCTGAGTGAGATTGTTCACGATTTATTATCAATTATCATATATTTCTTTTACGAATTCCAGCTGCATTGAAAACCTGTTTTCCCTCTAAATTCTAAGTTTGAAAGATTTGCAAGTATGATTTTGAAATTCAGAAAGAATGTTTGATCCTTAAATTATTTGCATAATTGATTAAACAGCAAATATACACAAACCAGACATGTAACATGTATGATGAAAAAATTTTAGTTGACAAGAAAAATTAATTATCATTTATTGAAAATCACTGGCTCTTAAAAAATTTCAGTTCCTTTGAAATAAATAACGTCATTACCACCACCTCCACTCATATTAATTTGGATTTATTACCCAGGTATTTCTAAAAGAGCAGCGGGAAATTCGCAATTCATAAATAATTTGAATAAAAAGAGTTTG